CTCTCCAGTGCCTAAAGGAATGTATTTCTTTCTGACCAGATAAGTTCTATTCCTCCTTTCAGTTCCAATAAGCAATTAACTTCTCATTCCCTGGGACACATGTATTTAGGCTCTGAGCTACCTGAGTGCAGGGACTACATTTATCCCCACAGTAAGTGCTCAATAAACGTTTCTTCCCTTGAAACCCTTGCTTATTATCTATCTTTCTCTCACTTTCAGACAAACCATAAAGTACCGGTGGGCCTTCCTTTATTTTTGGAAGCTTAGGTTTGACTGCTCAGGGAGGTAGGAAGGTAAAGGGAAGATCAGCAGCCTGATCTCATTCTTCCATCAACCCACTGAGTGACCCTGTGCAAATATTTTCCCCAGTCTGGGCACTGGCTTCCCACACTGTCAAATGAGGAAGATGGTACAGTGTGGAATGGAGCCAAAAACCTTGGTATCATTTTTCACTCCCTTCTCTCACACAGGATCTGTCAGCACATCTGAAAGTTTTTCCTTCAGCTCTGATTCCAAATCTGACCCTCACCACCCTTCTTTTGCCAGTGCCTTGTACAAGCTACCATCCTTACTCCACTAGAATCTTGCATCAACCCCTCTTACTGGGCTCTCTGCTTCCAACCTTGCCCACTCCTGTCTCCTCTTCCTGAGCAGACTGGTCTTTGTTCAAAGATCTCCCACGACTCCCCATCTCACTCAGGGCAAAAGCCTAAGTCTTTCCAATGGCCCACAAGGGCCTCTATGACCTCGACCCAATCCCACCTTCTACTGTCTTCAGTTCTCACCAGTGACCTCTGCTTTTTCTTGAACACACCACGCACACTCTGACCTCAGGGCCTCTGCAGTTACCCCTCTACTTGGAATTCTTCCCCCCAGACATTTTCATGGCTCATTTCTTCACTTCCTTCAGGTCTTTCCTCAGATAACACTTTATTAAAGATGCCTTCCCTAGCCTGCCTATTAAAGAGCAAGCCCCCACCCTCCTCCCCCAGCACTCCCCATCCTCACGATCATCCAATGTGCTATGTATTTACTTACTTATTGCCGCCTGTCTACCTGACTACAATGTAAGTTCCACAAGGGACAGCTCATCTATCTGTTTTGACTGCAGCTATATTTTGTTCACTGTGCACCTACCTTAGGGCCTAGCTCATAATAGGTGCTCAGTAAATATTTGTTGGTGAGTCAGGGAACATGGGCTTGGGACTTAGCTCTAGCGATGATCTTTTCTATCTAAGGCTTGGATTCCTCCCTTAAAAAAAGCTCCCAATCTTTTCCTCATTGTATTGTTGTGAAAAGTTAAATGGTACAGGAAACACATGTTACAGAGTTGCCTGGCTGACAGTACAGAAGCCCTGTGGCTTAGGGCACGGCTTCTGACACCTGAGTGACCTGCCGCGAGGTTCCCTGGCCCTTCTAGTACCTGCTTCAGAAGTTTCCTTAAGGTTATACAAAAGCCCCATGGAAGGTGCTTCACACAGTGTCTGATACAGTAATAGTAACCATTGTTGAGGGACTGGAAAAGAAGGATTCTACTTCTTGGATTCGCTCTGGATCTGGACTCTGCCTCCTCTTTTGTTTTGGGATAAACAGACCTGTCCAGACCTGTCCTTATCTCCTCTGGGCAGGCCCTCTCCCACCAAGCTTCAGGAAGTCCTTATACACACAGTTTGTAGATAACCCTGCCGGCAGGCTGGCCTTCGGAAGGTGATTACTGAGTCATGCTGACCTGGGGGGTAGTGAGAGAAGGTAGGGTGACAAGCCCAAGACCCCCAGGCTTCCCCTTGATTGTTATGTTGATGCCCATGTCCAGGGCCAGTCAGAGGTGGACGACTTAGTCTGCTTAACTTCCATTCACCTTTCAGGTCTACCCACAGCTGGCTTACCCCCACCAGACGCTTGCCCCCCCCCCCGCACTGAACCTGCTCACCAACCGCCCCTCCTTCCTAGCTTCATACTGCCCTTCAGCGACTCTTCAAATCCAGTGTGTCTCCCCCGTTAGATTGTGAGCTGCATGGGGGCAGAGCAGTAATCTGTCTAGATCACCGCGTGGCCCTAGCACCTAGCACAGGGCCTGGCATACAGAAGGTGGTCAATAAATATCTGCTGCCCGGAGGACCAAAGGGACTTTCCCATCTTTCAGATAATAAAAGTGGTCTAGAAGAGAAAGTTCCCCTGGCAGCCCCTCCCAGGTTACACCCAGGTCTCTTCTCAGCACCCTGCAGCGATTTGCATTGCAGTCCTAAAGCAGGGCTAGGCCAGGCATTCATTTTATAATTGTCCTGAGGAGAAAAACAAAACAGACAATAGAGATCCGAGGCCTCATTTTCTCAGGCAAAGAGATTCCTACCTTGAATTTGAAATAAGGGGCGAGAGATTCCCCAAAGGTGGAGGCATTATCACCCCCACCCTCAAAACTAGGAACTGCCCAAAGGGCCCTTTAAAAAACAAATTTCTAGGGGAGGCAGTTTAAAAGTCCATTGGAGCTTAGGCCAAGGATCTTAAAAAGGTGTAACCTTTACCCCAGGAATTCCACTTGTAGAATTTATGTCAAAGAAAAATCTTGAGATTAAGGGAGACTTTTGAATGGGTAAGCAAGTTCTTCACCACCTCCCATGCAAAAGTCAAGAGAACTGAAATTGTCCTAGGAGTCCAACAATAGAGGGCTGTTTACATTAATGTGCAGATACAAGGATAGAAAACTGAAAGAGGAATCGACTCCTCTCCCCATGGCTTCCAGCAAGCTCAGAGCCAATTTGAAAACCAATCAATAATCTCTCCACTGCTCCATATGTTGGTGAGTTTGCGCCCTACCTGGTCCTGATTTACCTTTTTTTTTTTTTTTAATCCTCCTACTTTAAGTGGCTCATTTCTTCAGCCAGTAACAGTCTTCCAACAGGGGAGTTTTTGTCTGGTTCACTGCTCTGTCCCAGCACCCAGCATGATGCTCACTAAAGACATGTTGCATGAATGGACAAATATATCCACAGGGTTGACTTAAAATCTTGGCCAATTTGGCAACTCCTATCCAAACGAAAGGTGGCAACCCAGCAATTCCATTCTAAGATCCAGTAACGCCGTTCTTAAGATACCTGTATACATGGATACCTGTGTATGTGAAAAGGCAAGATGCTAAATAGTGTAAGAGTGTATATATATATATATATGAGTCCATGGTTCGAAGCAAAAATAACAGAGAAAATAAGTGTAGGCCATTCCAGAATGATCCTGAGAGCACATATGGGAAGTTCCAATCTCACTCAGTCGTGGGACCTTGAATAGCACCTTTCCTCTATCAGCCCCATCCCCCCTCCCACAAAAAAACAAGGATAAGAGTTAAGACCTCCTGGGGGGCTTACTGAGAGGATTAAGGAAGAAAATGCATGTAAATGCCCAGCACTTCTACAGTTAGTACTGAAAGATATATTAAAATAGAAATTTATTTCCCTTGTGACAGGATGGGAACAAAGATCATTTAACTTCTTTTGACCCCTTTAAAATTTATTCTGTAAGTAAACTCAAATTTACGAAAGAGTTGCAAGAATACCCGTTATACTCTACCCAGAGTCAATAATTGTTAACCTTTGCCGTGTTTGTGCTATTTATCTCCTCTTCAATTTTTATTTCTTCAACCATTTTATCCCCCTTTACCTTAAATACTTTCAGCATGTAATTCTGAAGAACAAAGACATTTTACTACATAAGCAAAGTACAATGATCAAATTCAGGAAAGTGAACATTGATACAATATCATTATCTAGTTTACAGTCATGTTCAGATTTCATCAGTTGTCCCAGTAATGGGGTGCCTGGGTGGTTCAGGCGGTTGAGTGTCTGCCTTTGGCTCAGGCCGTGATCCCAGGTTCCTGGGATCAAGCCCTGCGTGGGGACTCCCTGCTTGTCAGGGGAATCTTCTCTCTCTAAAGTCTTTTTTCCTTTTCTTTTTTTTTAAGATTTTATTTATTTATTTGACAGAGAGAGAGACAGCGAGAAAGGGAACACAAGCAGGGGGAGAGGGTGACGGAGAAGCAGGCTTCCTGCTGAGCAGGGAGCCCCATGCGGGGCCCGATCCCAGGACCCTGGGATCATGACCAGAGCCGAAGTCAGACACTTAACGACTGAGCCACCCTGGCGCCCCCTCTCTCTAAAGTCTTTAAAAAAATTGTTCCAATAATGTCCTTTTTTAAAATTGTGGTTAAAAAAAAAATAAGACCCACATAATATTTACCGTCTTAACCATTTTCCAAGCATATAGTTCAGTAGTTTTTTTATTTATTTTTTATTTTTTATTTTTTTAAAAGATTTTATTTATTTATTTGACAGAGAGAGAGAGAGGGAACACAAGCAGGGGGAGTGGGAGAGGGAGAAGCAGGCTTCCCGCTGTGCAGGGAGCCCGATGTACCTGGGATGCTTAAGGACTGAGCCACCCAGGCGCCCCAGTTCAGTAGTGTTAAGCATATTCACGTTGTTGTGCCAATAATATATTTTATGATAATTGTTTACCTCCATCCAAGACCACACATTACATTTAGTTATCTTGTCTATTTTAGTTTCTTTTAATCTGGAGCAATTCCCCAGCCTTCCTTTGTTGATGACTTCTATAACAGGTGTTTTTGAAAAGTGTAGGCCAACTGTAATTTTGCATTTGTCTATGTGCTTTTATAATAAAGGAGCTAGTATTGAAGGTATGATGAGGATAATAATAAATGGAAACACGAAAATGTCCATAGTATATTCCCCCCCAGTGTTTGGTAGGAGGAGGATCTGGAATCTATCCCTTCTGTTATAATGCCCTTGGGCAACACACCAGATCCTCAGGGGTGATAGAAACGTTCTGCATCTCACATCAATCTCAGTATCTCATCAATGTCAGTATCTCACTTTGCAAGATAAGATCTGTATATTGAGGGATCTCTCTGTATTATTTATTACTACTGTACATGAATCTACAATTATCTCAATCAAAAATTTAATTTTTTTAAATGCTTTTTGGCATTTCAGAGCATGAAGAGCCAACCTTTCTCTGGGGAAGAACTTGGCCCCTTGGTGAAATTCCCAGCGGGAATCCTTGTGCCTGAGAAAAGACTTCTTAATGAGCTCCTTTCACTTGCAGGGGAGGGGGAGGGGGCCCTCTTTTGCCCTCCACAGGGACATTTTAAAGTGAATGAAGGGAGCAAGGTCCCTCATTAAGGCTGAAATGGGAGCTGCTGGGGGCGGGGGTTCTCTAGAAAGGAGGCCTGGCCCCAGGTCTGCATTTCCTGCGACAAAGTTATCGCATTAACAATAATCACCACTCCTTCCTTCATCCTAGAAATGGACTGTGAAGGAAAACATTGGAAAGACCTTTTTACCTATTGTTTTCGTTAACTGACAAGTTCTTAATAAAACTGAAAAACTGTAAAGACCTAAATAGGCAACCATGGGGATTAGTTATGGGCATTATATTCTGGCTCAGTAGAATAGTATGCAGGCTCTTATGATCATGTTTGCATAGCGTTTATAGTTGAAGCCAAGACTGGAGTTGTCTGAGATTTTGAGGTTTCTTTTAGAGGACTTGGGATTACCCTCAAGGTTGAGGAGTGCTGGGTTGGAAGGAGAGTGAGTTGCTCTTAAGTGCCTCATCCAGGGAAATGAACCTGCCACCAGTCCCCTATTCAGGGTGAAATGCTAATTTCTGGTTGTTCTCTGAGAGATCAGTCATGGTCCCTACCTAGGAAAGTTGGCCATTCTCTTGCTATTTAGAACCCAAATAGTCTGAACATAACATTCCTTGACACTTCCAGGAATTTCTCAAAAAGAAATAATCAGATGTGGGGAAAAATGTGTACAGGGATGCTTATTGCTATATTCTTTCTATAAGATTGAAAAACTGGAATAATAATAGCAAGCATTTATTGAGCACTTAACATGCACCAGTTGCTGGACTAAGTGTTTTACGAGCATTGTCTAATATCGTCCTTTCAAGTAGGTTCTATTATTGTCTCAATTTTTACAAATGAAAAAAGAAATGGAGGCACAAAAAGCTTAGTAATTTGCCCAAGACAACATTATTAGTAAGTGAGGGAGACAGATGGTCAAATGACAGCAATAACACAATGTGATAAACATTAAAATAGAAATAATATGAGCAACAATAGGTAGATGGTTCAAAGTATTATCATTATACATGCTGTCTATTCGGGTCTTCAAATAAAGCCTGGCACACGGTGAGCATCTAAAAATTGTTGTTATTATTTATACTTCAAACTTGAATGTGCCCAGGAATCACCTGGAGATCTTGTTAAAATGCAGATCCTGAATCAACAGGTCTGGGTGGGTGGGTGCGACAAGTCTGCATTTCTAACAAATTCCCAGATGGTGTCCGTGTCCTTTAAGGACCACACTCTGTCTATCAGAGATTAAATAGGTTGGGGAAGGAGGAAAGCCCTGAATATGTAAAAACAAAACAAATCACAGAAACCCCAAGGACCTGTGACATGGAAGAAACTAGAAGGCAAGATAGTCACTGTGTTACTACAGTGTTGGACAGCAGCTTCCAGTGAATTTCTTTCTCTTTCTCTCTTTTCTGTCACATGGACTAATTAAATTCCACAAATATTTATTATGTGCTTCAGCACCAGTCACTGTGGGAGCAGAAATGAAGGAAATCCACTGGTTTCCTCAAGGAATTTTTTTTTAAATAAAATCTTAAAAAAAATAATTTAAAGAGACGCATCAAAACCTCAATGAGATACCACCTCACACCAGTCAGAATGGCTAAAAATAACAAGTCAGGAAACGACAGATGTTGGCGAGGATGCGGAAAAGGGGAACCCTCCTACACTGTTGGTGGGAATGCAAGCTGGTGCAGCCACTCTGGAAAACAGTATGGAGGTTCCTCAAAAAGTTGAAAATAGAGCTACCCTACGACCCAGCAATTGCACTACTGGCTATTTACCCCAAAGATACAAATGTAGGGATCCGAAGGGGCACCTGCACCCCAATGTTTATAGCAGCAATGTCCACAATAGCCAAACTATGGAAAGAGCCTAGATGTCCATCAACAGATGAATGGATAAAGAAAATGTGGTGTATATATATACAATGGAATATTATGCAGCCATCAAAAAATGAAATCTTGCCATTTGCAACGATGTGGATGGAACTATAGGGTATTATGCTAAGCGAAATAACTGAATCAGAGAAAGACAAGTATCATATGCTTTCACTGATACGAGGAATTTGAGAAACAAGGCAGAGGATCATAGGGGAAGGGAGGGAAAAATGAAACAAGACTAAACCAGGGAGGGTGACAAACCATAAGAGACTCTTAATCTCAGGAAACAAACAGGGTTGCTGGAGTGGAGGGGGGTGGGAGGGATGGGGTGGCTGGGTGATGGACATTGGGGAGGGTATGTGCTCTCTTGAGTGCTGTGAATTGTGTAAGACTGATGAATCACAGACCTGTGCCCCTGAAATAAATAATACATTATATGTTTTTTAGTATATTGCTGCCGAAGCGAGCACATTAATACATTATATGTTAATAAAAAAATAAATTAAAGAAACACACTTAAAAGGAGTGCATCTCATTGTATATAAGTTATACCTCAACAAAGTTGATTTAACACTTAAAGATATAAATAAATATAATGCCCCAGCAGGGATCTTTTTTAAAAGGTTGAAAATATTTTAAAATAAAAATTCCTGGATGGTGAGTCAGGGGGCCTGAGTTCAGTCACTGTCAGTAACTTGAAGGTTTACTCTCTTCCAGGTACCTTGGACTTGGAGAAGTGCCCTGCATACATTTTCAAAGCACTTTGTACTTCTCGACATCAGTTAATAATTTCACACACACACACACGTGTGAATTTCACACGTGTGTGTGTGTCTGCTATCCTGACTAAACCCCGACTTCTCCAGGGCCAGGCACTGCATCCGGCTGTCACTGTGGTGTCCTAGCACCTGTCATGGTATCCACTCTCCAGTAGACACTTGATTTATTACCTGTTGAATGAGTGCATGAATGAAATAATCACTAAAGGGAAGGCACTTGGCCTCTAGGTCAAAAACATTTTGTTCATATCCTTCCAGAGGGATTTTTAGTGAAGGGTAGAGAAGAAAGCCTGGTAGGGAAAGCCAGCCAATCCTTTCCATAGTCCCCCACCCCATGTTTCTATGCATCCCCTCCCTACCCTCAAGGCTGGGGGGGGGGCCTAGGTGAAGAAGCTCTTGGGCTTGGGGGCCACGTCCTAGATTCCAGGGAGCACTTCTCAGTTTTCTCATCTGTTCAGTGGGGATCAGGGTAATAGTTACCCCGGGCTGTGGGAGGTACGTGGGAAAACACACCATAGGGGTTAAAGTGTTTCAGATTAAAGTGATCATCACCTTCCTAATAAACTCCCTTCATGGACCTGAGCACCACCCTCTCTCCCACTATCACAGTCCTTGCACTTCTGGGGGTCAGTTTACTCCACTCCAGAGGTTCTCAAAGTGTGGTCCCTAAGAGCTTGTTGGAAATGCAAATTCTCAGGCTGTACCCTAGACCCTTCTGGATCAGATACTCTGGGCGTGGGGCCCAGCCATCTGCCTTACACCAAGCCCTCCAGAAGATGCTGATGCAAGCCCAAATTTGAGTCCTTACTCCTCTGCTCTGATATAAGCTCTCCTAAGGAGGGACACTGGGCCTGCGTTGTTCACTTCTCTATCCCCCTGGCCTGGCACAGTAGGCGTGCAACAAGAAATCTGCTGAATGCATCATACCTATGTTAATAGCAGCTAGCCACTGATTGAGGACCTTCTATGTGTCAGGCTAATCGTCTAAACGTTTTGGGAGAATTACCTCAGTTAAGCAGCCATCCCTGGGTTCATTTTACAGAGAGTGAAACTGGGGCGCAGGGAGGCCAAGCTCTGTGTTGTGGGGTCACCCAGAGGGAGATCCGCTAAGAAATCCCACGTTTGGCAGCTTGGCTCCTTGGGGCTCTCCAGGGGTCGCAGCGGCGCGCGCCTCTGCCGCGCGGCTCGTGCGCCCCGCCCCGCCCCGGG